CAGCCCTCGAAAGCCAGCATTGCCGCTCAAGGCCTCCCTGAGATTTGAGTTCCAAATGTTCCCAAGTCTTTAATGGAAGAGTATCAAACCTCATCTGTGGGCTTATTTCACAAAACGTTTGCTCTGTAGAGGTATCTGTTCAGGCAGGAGACAAGGCAGTGTTAAATTCACCCTGACGGTTTAAGTTGTACCAGTTGGCTGGATTTTCTCTCCCTGCCAGGCAAGTTGTCAAACCCAGGCCAGGCCCAGAGACAGTCATGCTGGAGGGGCAAGAACTATGGCCTTTTGCTGGGCGCGGTGGCTCACGCCTATAATCCCAGCACTTTGGGAAGCCGAGGGGGGCGGATCACCTGAGGTTGGGACTTCAAGATGAGCCTGACCAACATGGAGAAACCCCGTCTCTACTGAAAAACAAAAAAATACAAAATTAGCCAGGCGTGGTGGCGCATTCCTGTAATACCAGATCCCAGCTACTCAGGAGGCTGAGGCGGGAGAATCGCTTGAAACCAAGAGGCGAAGGTTGTGGTGAGCTGAGATCGCACCACTGCACTCCAGCCTGGGAAACAAAAGCAAAACTCTGTCTCAAAAAAAAAAAAAAAAAAAAAGAACTATGGCCTTTTAACCCACAGGGAAAGGTTGAAGATCCGGGAGGAGCCAGACAGATTGAAGCCAGCAGGAGTAAGATAAGGATTCAGACTGATTGGGCTTACCTCGTCCTCTGAGCTCTGAGGCCAGGTGTTCCTGAGATAGAGGAAGAGGGTGGAGAGCGGCCGCCTGAGCAGAAGGCAAAGGAAGACAGCACATTTCTTTTTTTTTTTTTTTTTTTTTGAGACGGAGTCTCGCTGTGTCACCCAGGCTGGGGTGCAGTGGCCGGATCTCAGCTCACTGAAAGCTCCGCCTCCTGGGTTTACGCCATTCTCCTGCCTCAGCCTCCCGAGTAGCTGGGACTACAGGCGCCTGCCACCTTGCCCGGCTAGTTTTTTGTACTTTTTAGTAGAGACGGGGTTTCACCGTGTTCGCCAGGATGGTCTCGATCTCCTGACCTCGTGATCCGCCCATCTTGGCCTCCCAAAGTGCTGGGATTACAGGCTTGAGCTACCGCGACCGGCCGTAGAAGACAGCACATTCCTTTGTGATGACCTTTCTCTACACAGACACGGGAAGTGGGACAGGGGGTTCAACAGGAAGTCAGCGGGAAGAGGTTATCCCCTGCACCACAGTTCATGAATGAAGGGCCTTCAAGTGCTTGCTGTAAGGCCAGCCCAGTGCCCCAAAAGGCTGTGGGGACTGTGTGCCCCTCTCCCTATCCATCCCCAACATGAGAATGCTAAATGCTGCGCTGAGGTCTTCAGTATAGGAGCCCTAACCGTTGTCTAGGATTCCAGGTACTTTCTGGGTAAGGAAATTAGGGGCAGTGAAAAATTGGAAGTTGGACGGCTGGTCATGGTGACTCACGCCTGTAATACCAGCACTTTGAGAGGCTGACGCAGGAGGACCGCTTGATCCTAGAAGTTTGAGACCAGTCTGGGAAACATATTGAGACCCTATCCTTAAAAACAGGCCAGGCACAACCTGTGAAAGAATAGCCTTCTTAGAGAGGGGCTGAGTTTGAGGGGAGAGGCATAGGCTGTCCTCCTTCAGCAGGCAAGAAGAGAAATGAGCCCTCCTGCTCACTCATAACAGTCAGTGCATAATGGGGCAGAGGGCACTGGTAAGGGTGTTTCCAAGTCTCCAACCTCCCAATTTTGTTGTTTTGTGTTGTTGTTGTTTTTTTTTTTTT